AGAACGTTACATGCAGGTTTCCGAGTTGCCCCTATGTGAAATAGCGCCACCTTAGACACTGTTTAGGCTTTCGAAATCAGAACAATCAATTTCAAGTTATGCACAACAGAAAGGAGCACTATTGGCATTGCTCAATTATGAGGTGACTTTTAAGCTTTTATTCAACAAATTAAAAGAGCTTATAAGAAAGATAAAAAAACAAAATCTGGGCACTTGTGAGAAGCTAAAACAGTCATTTTTTAGCTTATAAGTAACATCTCCAACAAGCATGAAGATGAAAACGAAGAGCATACAGTAAGGCTAAACAGTAATAAACTACAAGACCATCAGACTTTGTTGTCAGACACAAACGACAACATAATAGGTTACTCCGATTTTAAATAGTTCTCTTTTATATTTCAAAGTCGATGGGGGATCACAGCCCAGATGTCACCTCTAGATTATTTAGAAGAAGTTTGGGTGCAAACACAACAAGAGGCTAATGACTATTATAGTGCAGCAATGCACTCAATTTCAATCTTTGCGTCCATTGGTAGTGCTGCCACCTGGTAAGTTGAACGAGCTGGGGCCGGTGATGGAAAATCTGCAATGTTGCAAATGTAAGTACAGATTAAATGAAAAACCATTAGAGCATATCTCCAATAGCACTCTTTATTTTAAAGAGCATCTTCTATCATATAGAAAGAGCGTCTTAAGGAATTTCCAAAAATAAAGAGTCAAATTTTTTACACAACTCCAATAAAACTCACCATATTCATTCATTATTTTGCCTTTTCCCATAAGCAATTATTGTTCACGAAGAATTTAATAGAAAATTGTGCAATAATAAATGAAGCATTGTATAGAGAGTGGATTTGGCTCTTTACGTTTGAAGAGTCAAATACACTTTATTTTAAATTTTGATGATAAAGAGTGTATCAGACACGTAAAAGAAGAGGTTGGATTCTCTAAAATAGAGAAAACGAGGATAATAAAGAGCCTATTAGAAATGCTCTTACTATCTTAAAAATGTCAATTCAGCATTCATACATACATGGTATTCTTCTGAAAAAGGAAGTTGTCAGGAGAACATGATTAGAATTACCAATCTTAGGACAACAAGGATATTTGCAGAATGCAGGCTACATGTATTACAGAAGATGCTCGCATGATATAGTGATTTACACTCCAGAAAAATTACTCACAGGTTTAAGCAAGATCAATGGATAATGCACATCTAATTTGACATATTTGATAGCCTTGACTAGTCTATAAATTTAATCAACTTGTAAATTCATGGTATACAAACATTCTCATGAGCTTTTCACAAGGAAGACAAACTACTATCCAGTATCCATCCAACTACCGCTGAAATTCATGCTATTGTAAAAATTTAAAGAATTAGACATTTGAATTACATATTTACATAATAAGGTACAAGGACATCGAAAAAGCATTACATATTTGCATAGAACTAAATTTGAATGGAAACGTTCTTATACAAACATTCGGGGTCTCATACTAAGGTCTTATAAGAAGTTGGAGAGGCACCCTTTCATCAAATTCTGTCCCAAAATCGACAGACTCTAGAGGTCAGAATGGTGTGGTTTAAATGTATCGGCATTGAGCTTACAGGAGAGGAAACTGAGTTTGTAATAACTTTCAGGAACAAGAGCTTTCATGAAGGTACATGGACACAGGAAACAATTAACACTCTTAGCTATTGGAAGTGACAAAAGGACATGCTAAGCAATTTATTCTTCAAATGGTTTTCCTGTAGTTAATGAGAAATAGGCATGCAGGGATCAATTCCTATCAGTTGCATCTTCATTTATATGCAGAATCCAAGCAAAATACATTATACGAACAGATAAGAGCCAACTTAAATCCTAAATACTCACATTTAGCATAGATCTCATTCACTTTCTTGAAGTCTTTCAGATCAGCCAACCTGTAAAGACACAAAATGCAATATCAATTGCACAACCCAAGATGTTGTTCGGTGATGAAATGTGTGTTGGTCCATTTAAGTGTGCATATAATTGAGCTAGCTTGTGCGTGTGAGTGAGAAAGAGAAAGAGAGAGAGAGCTCGAAAAAGGTATTGCAACAAGATCACGCACATGATTGTTGTCTTGACCACTGAGGAATAGCTAGCACCACTTGCTTTAAGTATCTCGCCCATATTCTTGAGAACCTAGCAATTTAAACATACATCAGTAAGCTATCCACTCTCCAGCCAGAAACTGAATACTATGGTTGTTAAATGCCAATGTTATACAGCCTCTGTTTGATCCCTATTAAAATTATAATTCATTTTTCTCTCCCTTCTTATCAACCACATATTCTCCAATAAAATAATATTACACTTATTCCCAAATCTTTTTCATTTTTTTTTTAACCACAAATTTTTCAAAAAAACACTATTCCAACCTTTAAAATTTCAAATAATGGGGGTCAAATGTAGTAATACATTCAGTACAGACAAAAAGCGTTTTATACACTTCATAGATTTGTCAATGAATCATAGTCTATAAAAAAAATACTAGCAGAGTTCACATATGATTGTGTACCTGCTCAGTTTGATCCTCCACGTTATCCGAGACAAACTTTCCAGTCTGCATACAGGCATGAGAAAAATGTTCACAACACCCTTTTAACCTTTTTTTTTTTTAAAGTAAATAATACTATACATATATAGAGATCATGTCTACAACAGTAATTAGATGGTTAAAGAAAATATTTGATACTGTATGGTCAGCAGACACCACAAACCTCTGGAATTAGTCCAAGAACTCCAGACATGAAAAGCATATTATTTGCTTTGATGGCTTGAGAATATGGCCCCAATGCTGCTGGAGCCTTTTCTGTCTGAACGGCTTCCTTTATGCCTAGGTTCAATAGCATATTACGAAACAAATGAGCATCACCATACAAATTACAAAGTCATTATGAAATGTAGAAAAATAGTAGTGAAGTTCAAAGAAGATTGTTAAATGAATTGAACCAATATGTCCTTAACCAAACACAAGCAGTTAAGTACTGGGTTGAATCTCACTTATTAGTAAAGCACAAGGGGCTTGCATTTGGAAATTCTTCCTTCTTGAATGAAAGAAATTACAAAGGTAAAAAGGAGAAAGAACTGCTTTGTCTTCAACTTGTCATGAACAATGAATACTGGTTACAAGTACAACCTAAGAGCAGTTGGTAAGAAGCAATAGTAGGCTCAAGGGTCAACTCCATAAACCCACCTTCCTCCAATCCCATCGAATCCCTCAAGAGTTTTTTCTGTCACTGCTTCTTTCAAAAACATCTGAGTAGATATAAAGAAACATATGCGGAGAAAAGAAATTCACAGAGATAATAATGAGAAGAAAAACAACCTAAAACTTACTATCAATAACAATGATAATAAATGAGTAACCCCGGGCAGAAATCAACTAAAAAACAACTGCCAAGAATTACTCTGCTTTCTCTTCGAGATACATGTGTATTGGTATAATACCATAACTCTTCAACTTCCTGTACTAAAACTTCAGTAGACTAGATTAACGGATAGATATTTTCACTAGTCACAAAGGATCCAACTTTTTAGAATGCAAGTTGAAGATGTAAATTATGTTCTCTAATTTAGGAATACTGGGTTAAATTCTCCTTGGCAATTAATTATACAATCGATCACGTTTCACACTATTCATTACTAGATTCGTATCATATTAACTGCATTTTTTAGTATAATATAGACATAAACAGTGAATATGAATGGCAAATTAATTTAAATGCCTTACGAATGGCTCTGTCTAGAAAATTTCTGGCAATCCGAGATGCATAAGGTACAATTCTCTATAGCAGCAATGACAACGGAAGTTCAATAAATACAATTTCAACAGGATATACATATATCGATATCCACGAGGTGGGCTCACCGGCTGTGGCATCAGTAGAAATGCTGAAGGAAGCGAAGGGGCTTGGCGACGATGATCTAGATGACGACAAAGGGAAGCGGAGGTTAGCACCAGCAAATGATACCCAACCGACCCGAGATCGCAGTGAGCCGACATCGATTGCCGGCAAATGGAAGCTCCTTGCGGTGGTGCACCACGCCATAAATGTCTCTAGTGAGTAGAGTCAACTGTGAGTCTCACCAGAAAATTTGTCTTTCAATTTTCAATATTATCCCCACTAATATTTCAATATTAATGGTTTGTACCCTCCATTAAAGAAAAAAACACTTAGAACCCTAATAAGTCAAAATTATTGCATAATTGTCCATCTTTGTTTTCATTATTTTAATTTAGAAAAAAAAAAACTATTTTAATTTTAAAAAAGTATATTTTTTTAACAAATTAATTTCATCTTAATCATATTCTTTGAATTTTGATTTCTCAATAAACAAATAAATCAAATAAATTTCATCTAAAATATTTACTACAAAATGAACTAAAAATAAAATCTACACTATAAATTTTTTATACCATTTTTTTGCATATTTAAAATTATGATTATATTAATTTAATTTCTAATAATTATATAGTATAAATATCAAGAGTACCAAAAGAGAAAAAGCTATTAAATTTGGCAATATAAAATATTTGAATTTTCAATTAGCATTATAAATTATTCTAAATATTTTTTAACTTGTTAATTTTTTTGCCAATCATATTTGAAAACAAAACACACATTTTTATAAATTTTTAGATTTTATAAAAATATTTATAATGGTATTTTTTTTAGCTATAGTGATCTCATTTAAATCAAATTATGAAAAATTATATCTTAATAAATAGAAAAAATAAAATAATAATTTCCGAAAAGTATAGAGGAATAAATAAGAAATTAATATTTACATTTTGTTCATCGAAAAACTTTTACTAAGCCTATGTTTGATCCCCATTTTGGGGTAAAATATATTATGAAATAGTGATTTTTTTTGGAGAATGTGTGATTAAAAAGTAAAGAAATTTTTTTGAAATAGGTGTATAATTATTTTATATAAAAATGTGATTGGAAATGAATTTTGAAAAAATATATTCTTGAAAAAAGGGGCCCAAATAGGGGCTAAAAGTAAACCTCAGGAAGATTTTTGAAAATTTTGTAAATAGGGGAGAGGTCTATGTAATTGTCATAAATCTTAAGAGATGATTATGTAATTTACTCTAAAAATATGTCCTAAATTTTCCTCCTAAATGTACCGCAATTTGAGTATAGTATTACGAGTTAACCAACTTGTACAAAATTGGATTATAAAAATGGTTGACAAAATATGTGTGGCAAGATCTGAACCAATGATTTCAAAAATTGATTTTTATATTATTGGACAAGATCTTGCCAACACATATTTTGTCAACCATTTTTGTAATCCAATTTTGTAAGCGTAGCATTGCACTAGCATTACCTCCACCCCCGCAACTGTTAGCGTTCCCATCTTCTCCTAATTCCATCCTTGTCGTTTTTTTTATTACTTAAGTGTCCAAACTTCGTTATACTAATCCTGAGGAGTGTCGGATCACCCGAGTAAAATTAGCTTTCCCACCTTCTCCTAATTCCATCCTTGTCGTTTTTGTCGTATAGGCAAGAGGGGGTCCACAGTTAAGGGATGAGGATGGAGATAAAGGTTAAGTGTGTGAAAGATAAATTTGAAATTTTTTAATCTTTAACGTTAGAGCAGTTTAACATGACTTTTACTTTTACTACATGTAAAAAGGATTTTAGAGGAAAATCACTAAATTTTTGTTTGAAAACTAATTTTTAAAAAAGTTCTCTATTTTAAAAGTTCTTTTAGAGAAAGTTTCCTTTAAATACTCTTCTAACTTTTAAGCCAAGAACCTTGCTATATGTACATTTTAATATACACTTGGTTTACACTTTATCATGTGATATTATCCGACCAGACAATTTAAATTTCAAACAGTTTTTTCATTCAATTGACACTTGACAACAATGCAAGCGTCAACCAAAGTATAAAAAATCAGTGTACAAATAGCAAAGTCCTTAAGTTAAAAAGTAACTTTTAAGTCTCAAAAACTCATTTCAACTTTTTAAATCCATGCCAAACGCCCTGACCTCATTTAGATGTCCTTCTAGAAGCCATATGAGTGAACATAAAAAGGGCACTCTTTTCTTATCTTTTCGAATTTTCAAATCTCTGTGGATACCTGTCCCCACTGCTCCCCATATGCCATATTACAAGATGCAATAGGAAAAGGGAGAGAATGTTTGATTTTATATTTTTC